CTATTTCTCTTCAAGTACAGTTGCCGGAGATTTGATTTATTAACTGGTTATGGTGGATCCTTCAAAACTCAAGACCATTTTATTAGTAACCACTGTGTCGCTCATGTTGCTGTTTGTCGGAGTGAACCTGAAAACCTCTATCCAAGACAAGGCGCCTAATGTCGCACACGTTTGGTTTGAGACAGACTATAGCCAGACATTTCAAGAGCAAGAACTCCAGGCTAATCAGGCAAGCTTCTTGACTGCAAGTGGAAACGCGTCATTTGACTCAAATCTTTCGGAGGGAATATTAGATAGTGGAACCTCTCTTGAATCCTACAATCCCACAAACAATTTGTATCGCATTCAGTTTGTTGTTGTTGGCAGGTGCGTTGGCCTCTCCCAGGATGATTCTCTCACCGTATCATTTTGCGACCCTACAGCCAAACAGGCCTTCTTTTTCTACAACGGGATGCTGAGACCCGAAGATAACATCCTCTGTGTGGGTATTAGAAACTCTGGTGTTCTGGGGTTAGTGGACTGCAATAATGGTATCCAGCTAACATTAGTGGATAACAAACTCAGAGAAGACAACTCCACTGGCAGTGAGATACGTGATGTATCACGTAATGCCCATATAAGGTGTCTTGCTCCTAACAATAACCACCTGGTATTAGGGGTGCCAGTGGCTCTGACAGAATGTAGCCATTCCTCATCTGACGTTGCACTTTTAAATGAGACTGAATTTCTCCGCGACAGAGCGGCACTTATGCTGCCTCTAACTGACGAAACGTCCTGCAATTTGACAGCCTGTCGCGCCAACCATAGACCACCAATGGCTAAACTTCTACCCGAATCTGAAGTTAACAGATGTAAGAACTTGTCTCAAAGTTTAACTGTAGTAGTCAAGACAGCTAGGAGGCCTGTCTTGGTTATGAGGCTTGCTGAATCAATACGAAAGAGACTCAACCAAGACCTTCCAATGATTGTTATCGACGATGGACCCATGCCTCATCCTCCTGAACTAATGGCTCAACTTGCCAAGTTTCCTAATATAAGATATATTGTATCAGATAAGAAAGATCTTGGTATAAGCGAGGGTAGAATGATCGGAGTTAAAATGGTTACCACAAAATACTTTGTTAACATGGACGACGATAACGTGGTTACAGAATCGTGGGACGCAGCTAAAATGACGGAATTGCTGGACACTACTGACTTGACGTTAGTTGGCGGGAGGACAGACTCCACATCCTGGCCTTCGTTCCTAGAATTTGGGTATGGCAAGAAAGGGGAACCAGTTCTACTTCATTACCATGGAACCTGCAAGAAAGCTAATCAAGGCTTACCTTTCTTCCCGGAGTGTGTAAGGTGTGATCTGACCAGTAACAGTTTTATAGCAAAGACAAAAGACATCCTCGAGGTGGGTGGCTGGAGCTTAGAACTGAAGGTCAACGAGCATCAAGATTTGTTCTTGAGGCTGAAAGCAGCCGGTAAGAAAGTGGTTTGGTGTCCTAAATTCCGCGTTTTGAATGAGCATCCAGTCCAGAGCGATGCAGATGATTACAACAACGCGGCTTATAAGAGACTTCGCTACAAGCGAAAAGTTAGGATGAATAAACTGTTTTGTAATCATTGGAATGTGGTGAGTTATTCACACCAGGGAGGGGGTGCAGTTACAAATGCATCGTGGCTCAACGACTTGTAACTGTTCTGGTAAATTAAAGTATTTGTTATGTTTATATTTATTATATTTATGATTAGTTACAGTAATAGTAGTAGTTACCAAATGTTAAGAAAGGGCTATCTGATTATAATATGACACTTTATTTGATATTCGAATCATGTTTTGTAACATCTGCTTCGATTCTTTAACTAATTAAAAAACTGCAAATAAATTCGTCAATTATTGAGCATGCGAAAGTGTTAAAATCCTAATTACAACAACAACAAACAAAATCCAAACTATGGAACGTTTAAACTAACCACGGAACAGCGATCCCATCGCTTGACAGGTAGTGTAGATCCAGACGATCGTATAATTTTAGTTTCGGCAGTAGTTATCAACCTAACACCTCTCTAACCGTTCCTGCAATCAATACAAGGTTGAAATCGCGTTTTAATTTGAGTAGAAACTTTTTCAAAGCCTAAATAATGAAGTGACAATTCCCAACTCAGCCAGATTACTATTAGCAAGATTTGGACCATAACGGTTAACGACTAACAAACATGTGTATCAAATAATGTATGTATATAGTATGTATAATGTATAGTATGTATATTATAATAAACTAGAAAGCCCGTGGTAACAGGGACGAAGCTAGTAGTATTCTTTGAAAGAAATTGTTAATCGCATCAAAAAATATCCATCCCAACCGAAAATACAGCCGATTTAAATATAAAACACTTTAAACACAACGTAATTACCACAAAACCGTCAAAATGACGTTTAAACAATCTTTGCACGTGCATGTGTGCATTAAAACACCGTTGCTATGGAACGTTTTGGTTGTTACCTAAATTCCTATTTCTCGTCTAATTTGCACGTGGGCGGTCGTACAAACGTACATACAGAAATAATTCTTTGAATTATAGTAGAGACTAGAAAACCCGTGGTCACAGGGAGGACGCTAATAGTATTTTTTGTTAGTAAGTTTAAATCGCGTCAAAAAATATCCTACACAACCGAAGATAAATCCAATTAAAATGTTGTTCGTACTAAACACAGCGTAATATCGACAAAACCGATCAAAATGTCGTTAAAACAATCATTGCACGTGCACGTGCGTGTAATAACCCTCGTTACCATGGTTACTATGCAACTTCCTATTTCTCGTCTAATTTGCACGTGGGCGGTCGTACAGCAGAAAGAATTCTCTGAATTATAGTAGAGACTAGAAAACCCGTGGTCACAGGGAGGAACCTAATAGTATTCTTTGGCAGTCAGTTTTAATCGCGTCAAAAAGTATTCATCCCCACCGAAGATACAGCCGATTAAAATGTTGCTCGCACTAAACACAACGTAACAAAACCAATAGAAAATGCCGTTCGCCAATCTTTGCACGTGCACGTGCGTGTAACAACCCTCGTTACTATGGTTACTATGCAACTTCTATTTGATTACCTAATTTGCACGTGGGCGGTCGTACATTGTACAGTGTACAAACAAAAATAATTATCTGAATTATAAGTAAGATAGTTCCTTCATATGGGAAATTGGTAGATCACCGACCGGCTATAAGCCGGTTATAAGCCGGCTATAAACCGGCTTATAGCCGGCTACAATTTTTATAGCCGGCTATAAGCCGGCTTATAGCCGGTTAGTAGCCGCTTACATTTGTTGTTGAGCGACGGCTATTAGCCGGTTATAAGCCGGCTATTAGCCGTTTAGGTATCGAAAGTGGTTATAAGCCGGTTATAAGATATTAACTCAACTTCATCGTACTGAACGATAGTCAGGAGCCGGCTATAAGAAATTCAGCGAAAACGGCTATTAGCCGGTTATAAGCCGGCTATTAGCCGTTTAGGTATCGAAAGTGGTTATAAGCCGGCTATAAGCCGGCTATAAGATATTAACTAAACTTCATCGTACTGAACTGAGTTAATAGGTATCTTATAACCGGCTTATAGCCGGCTTATAACCACTTTCGATACCTAAACGGCTAATAGCCGGCTTATAACCGGCTAATAGCCGTTTTCACTGAATTTCTTATAGCCGGCTCCTGACTATCGTTCAGTACGATGTAGTTGAGTTAATATCTTATAACCGGCTTATAGCCGCCTTATAGCCGGCTTATAACCACTTTTAACTTTTTAATACCAAAACGGCTAATAGCAGGCTTATAACCGGCTAATAGCCGTCGCTCAACAACAAATGTAAGCGGCTACTAACCGGCTATAAAAATTGTAGCCGGCTATAAGCCGGCTTATAGCCGGTTAGTAGCCGGCTTATAGCCGGTCGGTGATCTACCAACTGGCCCTTCATATCTCTCATTATGGTGTTCAATGTTTTGAGATATTTGCATTATGTGTAACTGCCTTTATACTTATAGAGGACAAACTAATTTTAATCCTTAATTTTAAAACCGATCAAAATGTCGTTAAAACAATCATTGCACGTGCACGTGCGTGTAATAACCCTCGTTACCATGGTTACTATGCAACTTCCTATTTCTCGTCTAATTTGCACGTGGGCGGTCGTACAGCAGAAAGAATTCTCTGAATTATAGTAGAGATTATTATTGTATAGTATGTATATAGGTATGTTCGAATTCTAAGAAATGTTCATCTGAGATCATGTAAAGCTCAAGTAAGCACACTGGAAAAATAAGAATATATTATGTAGACATACATTCGGTCCTGAAAAGCCTCAAGAAAGCTTTGAAAGTCTACAGAAAATGTGTACTCAGTGCTTAGAGTCAGAAACTGAAGATTGTGCTTGATAACGAATAAGTGCTACAGAATTGTCGGAGGGCCATGCTATTTGTCCCATAGTAGGGTTCTCTGTATCTACAGCGTAAATGTACATTTACAAGCGTAGATTTTACGCTGGTAAATTTCCCTAAATTTATATATTGCATTCAACTATTGACAGTTTCAAAAGTTTACACTGTAGAGTAAATAAAAAACCGTGAAAATACTACATACTACATACTACATACTACATACTACATACTACATGCTACATACTTAGTACTTCTAGTACTTCTAGTACTTCTAGTACTTAAATCAAACTTACTGGGCTCGGTAACCAGTTTTAGTAATATCCCTTTGTACCCTTCGGTAACCAGTCCCTTTGTACACTGTCTGTATCTCTTTTTATGTATTGTGTAAAGGATTTTAAGCGAAGGCGTCATAGAATAAAATGATACGCTTCGAATAACAACAATAGTTCAATTTAATCGCAGGATATCTTAGAATCTTGCTGTAGGAATACTATTGGGGTACTATACTTATACTACTATAGATCCTTTGCTAATTTCTTTTAGAAAGCTTGAGAAATGACGACTATTTTATGACAGGTTCTAGTGGGAGCTGACGGGAAACGAAATTCTATTCCTGGATTCCAGAGAAAAGAGTTTCGAGCTAAACTAGCTATAGGTACATTGCTTCAGCTATTTAATTAACTGATTTACTTAGAAGTACGACCTTTAGGTACATTGCTTTAGCTATTTAACTGATTTACTTAGAAGTACGACCTTTAGTTAAACAGCTGAAGTTTATCAGTTTCACTGAGTTTATCATTATTTAGATATTGCTTTCACTCCAGTAGCAGGGAGTATATGTCCTTTCAAATTAACATACTTCTTCTAACTTTGGAACGCCGGAAAAATCTTATAATAAGTTGATCGAAATATTTTAAACTTTCTCTAATGTTAAGAAAGAAGTGGTGTAATGTATAATGTATAATGTATATAATGTATAGTATGTATATTATATATAAATTATTATTGTAGGTATTACGGCGAACTTCAAGAACAAGAAAAGTGAAGATGAAGCTAAGATTGAAGAAATTAGTGGTGTAGCTGCGCTCTTTAATCAGAAGTTCTTTGCTGATCTCAAATCAGAAACAGACATAGACTTAGAGAATATCGTCTACTATAAAGTAAGAAGTTTTGCAGTTGTGGACTCAGTCATTGTAATTATTTGATATCCTTAATGAAAAAGATCCTCTAAAACAAGCAGGTTTTTTGATGTTAATTAAGCTCTGAAATAGTTAATACAATAATTAACACGTGTAATTTCAGGATGATACCCACTACTTTGTGATGACCGCCAAGAAACAGTGTTTACTAAAAAAAGGGGTGCTAAAAGAGGTTGGTTACCTAGACCTCTCTCATATTATAATCCAACTGTACAACTAAAATTATTAATTAAGTTGTTGTTCTATCTCATCCCTCCTAGAGCTATCATTACTACTAGTTACTACCGTTACTACCGTAACTATGTTAGTTACAGGGACGTAGCCAGGATTTTTCTTTGAGGGGGGCTGTCGGCGAGCCGACGCGTCCAATCAAGCTGCGCAGCGAGCGAAGCGAGCAAGCTGTGGCAGGGGTCTGGGGGCGCAGCCCCCAGCGGGGTCCAGGGGCGGAGCCCCTTGGCGGGGGCTAGGGGGGCGCAGCCCCCCGGAAATATTTTGCGAAACAGGGTGTTTTAGACGACATTTGGCATTAAAGAAATTTGTAGGACAGCAATAAACTGGGATTGAAAAGAATCAAGTACTCACGTAAATTTGGTAACTTCACAACAGCAATCTGCATTCTCCAATCAGAATTTACGACTTACTCAGGCCTCATCGTCTTAAGATTTTTACATTTCCTACGGTCTAGGGGACACTATTGACTATAATTATAGAAGTCTTCTAGAATGTTTGCTTGGATTTTTTCCGGGGGGGGGGGGGGGGGGGCTGCCGCCCCCCTAGCCCCCCCCCCCCCCTGGCTACGTGCCTGGTTAGTTACTGTTACCATGGTAACATTCCCCCAGGACCACGGTGACGTGATAAAGCTGCTAGCGTACCAGAACGTGGATAATCCCTCACTCCTGAACTTCGTGTCTGAAGCAGCAGACTTCAGTACAGGGCTCCCTCACACTGACTTTGCAGTGAACCCGGACAATAATAGACCTGATGTCGCTATCTTTGATTTCACATCCATGTACAGTGCGGAGTACGCTGCCAAGATTCTCGAACGGAGGGGGAAACGACTCATTATCGGTTTTTATTTTTTCCGTTTCACCCTTTTTTATTTATTTTAGAGATAGCGCGCGGTAGGTGGGTTTGAATATGTTGTCGTTCCTTTCGTTCGTTAGTTACCATGACAACTAGCGCGCAGTGAAGCGCGCGAGTATTGCTTGCGGAGATGTGATGTATATAGCTAGCATGTCAATGAATGCGCGGCGCGACTGTGTTTTAATGTACAGTGCGGAGTACGCTGCCAAGATTCTCGAACGGCGGGGGAAACGACTCATTATCGGTTTTTATTTTTTATTTACAGATTTTATCCTAAAAGTAAAGATACTTCTTGTTGAATTGTTTGCTGCTATTTTGTCTAGTTTCACGCCCCTCAACCATTTTAAACCAGCAGTCAAAATATAAACTTAAAAATAAACCTACTGTTGCAGGATTGGTAGGGGACGGTCTTATGGAGCCGTTCTGGCCCCTGGGAACAGGCTGTGCAAGAGGTTTCTTATCCTGTATGGACCTTATGTGGATGATTCAGCAGCATCAATCAGGTTTTAACAATTAAGAGTGATTAACTTTAACGTTGAAACAATCAAAAGGGTGCACATTTTGATATTTGGACGGCTAGAAATCTGTTCCATTACTCAATGGTTATGTTGAGGTGACCTGTTCCTTTTAGGGACAAAACCCAAAGAGTTGCTTAACTCGTCCTGAAACTAGGTTAAATTTCAGGGACAAAACCCAAAGAGCTGCTTGAGGAGAGGATGGCACTGTTCAAGATACTTCATCAAACTAGCAACGAGAACATGAACAAGAAACACAGCGCCTACACTATGAACCCCAAATCAAGGTAACTTTACTACTCATTATACACTTACTTGATAATTTACTTGTTTTGTTATTTACTCGTTTTATAATTGCTTCTTAATCTAGTTTCCTTTCACCACAACTCACTGATTAGATTGGTACTCATGATTTAATCTCGCCTTTCTATTAATGGTGAATATTACAGGTACAGGTTGATACCCAAGTATAGTGAGGATTTGTCCTTTCTTTATGAGAATGACGATAAAGAGAACGTTAATAAACAAGGTGAACTTTTAGCATATTATTTTGAAAATGCTGTTTTAATGTTTTTAATACATATTAATTACAACACTTGAACTAGATTAGAAATTGTTTAAAAATTCTGGATTTGTTCATATTATTAGCATAGAAAACTAAAGTTCGATAAACTGGTTTTGTCGCACAATTCAGGGCCAAGCGTTTTGTGGCATGGCGCAGAATCATAAAATTTAATAAACATCCCAAAAATGTGTTTATTAATGGTGCTACAGTCTACACTGCCATAAGCAAAATGTTTGAAAACTTTTTTTCCAGTCATGTACATGTACTTTTTATGACTTTAAGCATTCTATCGCTCACCTTGTTTGAAAATCGTATCTAAAAAGCACGAACATAATATGAGTTTAGACGTGGTGACGTGTCCGGCAACATTCTTCAGTTTAGACATTCTTCAGACCCTCTAATTTGTAAGAATGTACATTTGTGCAGGTTACGTTTAAAACGTAGCTGTTAACTCATCCTCCCAGTCACCAGGGTGTGTTCCTCTGTTTTATACCGATCTCTTCTTTAAATCCTGTTTTAGTAACGTCCCTTGTTATGCAATCTGCGCTCTTTATGGCGATTTGTTCAAAATGGAGCACTTTAGTAAGGCCCTCGTTCAATCCCCATGAAGTTTAAGTTCCGTATCTTGCCGAAGGCATTTTTTGCCTGCTGCTCCGTCCAAGGTACCTACCTACTTCATGTAGGTAACCAGGTAACAAGGTAACCAGGTAACAAGGTAACCAGGTAACAAGGTAACCAGGTAACCAGGTAACCAGGTAACCACTAACCACTAACCAGGTAACCAGGTAACCAGGTAAGGCATGCTGCTCTGTCCAAAGTTCCTACCTACTTCATGTTTTTTCATTAGTGATAGCCATATGAAAACGATTTGTGGTCGTGTAACGTTAGATTGAATTCAGAATAGTACAAATTCTATAATTTTGGGTTTTTGAGATGATTTTCCACATTTTGAACCGCACTTAACCCATTCCATCATTGCAGACCGCATCGAGAATTACTCGCCCGAAAAGACGTCGCCTAACAAACGACTGGCCGGAGAAACAACAGAAACAGTTCACAAACAATGGAAAAAGAGCACGTTTGCGCGCACGCGCAAGCCCAAGAACCCCTCGAACGAGAGCGGGGTGTTGGCGAAGAAGCGCTCACTGAGTCCCTCACGTAGCGATGATCAGGAGACCCTGAGAAAGTGGTGCAGTGACAGACTGAAACTGATCCTACCTTACCTGCCCGTTACAGATCTAGATACCTGCTGGAGGGACGGAGTCTTACTTTGTGGTCTGGTTCATCTCTGCTCTCCTAAAGACATGTCAGTAGTGCCCCCCTCCCTCCACAGTAGTGCCCCACTCCCTCCACAGTAGTGCCCCACTCCCTCCACAGTAGTGCCCCACTCCCTCCAGTCTCCAGTAGTGCCCCACTTCCTCCACAGTAGTGCCCCCTCCCTCCACAGTAGTGCCCCACTCCCTCCAGTCTCCAGTAGTGCCCCACTTCCTCCACAGTAGTGCCCCACTCCCTCCACAGTAGTGCCCCACTCCCTCCACAGTAGTGCCCCACTCCCTCCACAGTAGTGCCCCCTCCCTCCACAGTAGTGCCCCACTTCCTCCACAGTAGTGCCCCACTCCCTCCACAGTAGTGCCCCCTCCCTCCACAGTAGTGCCCCACTCCCTCCACAGTAGTGCCCCACTCCCTCCACAGTAGTGCCCCACTCCCTCCAGTCTCCAGTAGTAGCCCCCTCCTTCCACAGTAGTGCCCCACTCCCTCCACAGTAGTGCCCCACTCCCTCCACAGTAGTGCCCCACTCCCTCCACAGTAGTGCCCCACTCCCTCCACAGTAGTGCCCCACTCCCTCCACAGTAGTGCCCCACTCCCTCCACAGTAGTGCCCCACTCCCTCCACAGTAGTGCCCCACTCCCTCCACAGTAGTGCCCCACTCCCTCCACAGTAGTGCCCCACTCCCTCCACAGTAGTGCCCCACTCCCTCCACAGTAGTGCCCCACTCCCTCCAGTCTCCAGTAGTGCCCCACTCTCTCCACAGTAGTGCCCCACTCCCTCCACAGTAGTGCCCCCTCCCTCCACAGTAGTGCCCCACTCCCTCCACAGTAGTGCCCCACTCCCTCCACAGTAGTGCCCCACTCCCTCCACAGTAGTGCCCCCCTCCCTCCACAGTAGTGCCCCACTCCCTCCACAGTAGTGCCCGACTCCCTCCACAGTAGTGCCCAACTCCCTCCACAGTAGTGCCCCACTCCCTCCACAGTAGTGCCCCACTCCCTCCACAGTAGTGCCCCACTCCCTCCACAGTAGTGCCCCACTCCCTCCACAGTAGTGCCCCCACTCCCTCCACAGTAGTGCCCCACTCCCTCCACAGTAGTGCCCCACTCCCTCCAGTCTCCAGTAGTGCCCCACTCCCTCCACAGTAGTGCCCCACTCCCTCCACAGTAGTGCCCCACTCACTCCACAGTAGTGCCCCACTCCCTCCACAGTAGTGCCCCACTCCCTCCACAGTAGTGCCCCCACTCCCTCCACAGTAGTGCCCCACTCCCTCCACAGTAGTGCCCCACTCCCTCCAGTCTCCAGTAGTGCCCCACTCCCTCCACAGTAGTGCCCCACTCCCTCCACAGTAGTGCCCCCCTCCCTCCACAGTAGTGCCCCACTCCCTCCACAGTAGTGCCCCACTCCCTCCACAGTAGTGCCCCACTCCCTCCACAGTAGTGCCCCACTCCCTCCACAGTAGTGCCCCACTCCCTCCACAGTAGTGCCCCACTCCCTCCACAGTAGTGCCCCACTCCCTCCACAGTAGTGCCCCACTCCCTCCACAGTAGTGCCCCACTCCCTCCACAGTAGTGCCCCACTCCCTCCACAGTAGTGCCCCACTCCCTCCACAGTAGTGCCCCACTCCCTCCACAGTAGTGCCCCACTCCCTCCAGTCTCCAGTAGTGCCCCACTCCCTCCACAGTAGTGCCCCACTCCTTCCACAGTAGTGCCCCACTCCCTCCACAGTAGTGCCCCACTCCCTCCACAGTAGTGCCCCACTCCCTCCACAGTAGTGCCCCACTCCCTCCACAGTAGTGCCCCACTCCCTCCACAGTAGTGCCCCACTCCCTCCACAGTAGTGCCCCACTCCCTCCACAGTAGTGCCCCACTCCCTCCACAGTAGTGCCCCACTCCCTCCACAGTAGTGCCCCACTCCCTCCAGTCTCCAGTAGTGCCCCACTCCCTCCACAGTAGTGCCCCACTCCTTCCACAGTAGTGCCCCACTCCCTCCACAGTAGTGCCCCACTCCCTCCACAGTAGTGCCCCACTCCCTCCACAGTAGTGCCCCACTCCCTCCACAGTAGTGCCCCACTCCCTCCACAGTAGTGCCCCACTCCCTCCACAGTAGTGCCCCACTCCCTCCACAGTAGTGCCCCACTCCCTCCACAGTAGTGCCCCACTCCCTCCACAGTAGTGCCCCACTCCCTCCACAGTAGTGCCCCACTCCCTCCACAGTAGTGCCCCACTCCCTCCACAGTAGTGCCCCACTCCCTCCACAGTAGTGCCCCACTCCCTCCACAGTAGTGCCCACTCCCTCCAGTCTCCAGTAGTGCCCCACTCTCTCCACAGTAGTGCCCCACTCCCTCCACAGTAGTGCCCCACTCCCTCCACAGTAGTGCCCCACTCCCTCCACAGTAGTGCCCCACTCCCTCCACAGTAGTGCCCCACTCCCTCCACAGTAGTGCCCCCCTCCCTCCACAGTAGTGCCCCACTCCCTCCACAGTAGTGCCCGACTCCCTCCACAGTAGTGCCCAACTCCCTCCACAGTAGTGCCCCACTCCCTCCACAGTAGTGCCCCACTCCCTCCACAGTAGTGCCCCACTCCCTCCACAGTAGTGCCCCACTCCCTCCACAGTAGTGCCCCCACTCCCTCCACAGTAGTGCCCCACTCCCTCCACAGTAGTGCCCCACTCCCTCCAGTCTCCAGTAGTGCCCCACTCCCTCCACAGTAGTGCCCCACTCCCTCCACAGTAGTGCCCCACTCACTCCACAGTAGTGCCCCACTCCCTCCACAGTAGTGCCCCACTCCCTCCACAGTAGTGCCCCCACTCCCTCCACAGTAGTGCCCCACTCCCTCCACAGTAGTGCCCCACTCCCTCCAGTCTCCAGTAGTGCCCCACTCCCTCCACAGTAGTGCCCCACTCCCTCCACAGTAGTGCCCCACTCACTCCACAGTAGTGCCCCACTCCCTCCACAGTAGTGCCCCACTCCCTCCACAGTAGTGCCCCCACTCCCTCCACAGTAGTGCCCCACTCCCTCCACAGTAGTGCCCCACTCCCTCCAGTCTCCAGTAGTGCCCCACTCCCTCCACAGTAGTGCCCCACTCCCTCCACAGTAGTGCCCCCTCCCTCCACAGTAGTGCCCCACTCCCTCCACAGTAGTGCCCCACTCCCTCCACAGTAGTGCCCCACTCCCTCCACAGTAGTGCCCCACTCCCTCCACAGTAGTGCCCCACTCCCTCCACAGTAGTGCCCCACTCCCTCCACAGTAGTGCCCCACTCCCTCCACAGTAGTGCCCCACTCCCTCCACAGTAGTGCCCCACTCTCTCCACAGTAGTGCCCCACTCCCTCCACAGTAGTGCCCCACTCCCTCCACAGTAGTGCCCCCCTCTCCAGTCTCTAGTAGTAGCCCCCACCTTCCCCACCAGTAGTAACCTCCAATCATAATACATTTTCTAAGGGTTAACCCCGGTTATCTTTACTAAACCCCACCTCCCCCAGGGATATGAGTGTTGTAAAGAGTAACTCTGACTCCCAGAATGTGGACCTGGCTATCTCCGTAATGTTTAACGAGTTGGGTATACAGACCCTGACTGCGCAGGACGTCCTACCTCCGTCAGGTCCTGACCTCCTCGCTATCATCTCCACCATCTTAGAGCTGCAGAAAGTTTACCAGGTACGTGGACTGTTGCTACGGCGAGCCGCGCAATTGTTTTAACACGTGCAATTGTTTTTGTAAGACTCATATCTTAATACTAATTGTTTAATCACGTGATCATTATAAGTGTTTATGGTTTTATCATATTTCTACGACTAACTAAGTTTAGTGGTATCGTGAAATAGTTTTGAAAGAACTATGTAAAAACAAAATAAGGCATAATTATGAGTATAAAATATTCTTATCACTAGTCCACTAGTCGCTACAGTACATATGCAATTAAAATTACATCTCTCACTTTTCTATAGTTTTCTATATGGTTGAATTAAGAATTAACTATAAATAGTTGAATTACGAATTAACTATAAATAGTTGAATTTAGGTTAATGCTGCTTATAACATGGCTGAGAGTAAATTTTTCACGAATATCTTTGCTGTTTGTCTTTATCCAGATAATCGAGATTTTCTGATATATGCACATTTTTGCGATATGCACATTTTTGTCGCGGCAAACTTAGTGAAATATGTTTCTGCAATCGTTGTTTATCTCGAAAGGTTGAGCACGAAAATGATAAAGATTATTTTAGTAATCGCTTTAACTGCACTTTAAATACAGTTTGTCAGTTTATTTGGTACAGCGTTAAACCTTGTGTAATATTATAAGGAGCTAGAGAAAGGTATTAAGCGCTCCAAACCGCTCCGTTCTCTCCCGCCACCGGTAGGTTCCGTGCCTGAATGATTGTTACACGTGATTGTGGAATTTGTGAATGTAATTGTACCGGGAAACCCTGCAACGTAGTACATACATAATACATATTACATTACACTGGAGCTTACACAGTGTAATTTCCTCCAGTCTGTGCTCCGTACGCTTATATAGCCGCGCGGCGCAGACTGAGGGAAATTACACTGTGTAAGCTCGATCCAGTGTAATGTAATATGTATGTACTACGGCTTTAGTTCATGTCTGAAAAACTGCTACTAATGTGATTTATTTGAGATTATTTCACAAAACTTGATCTTATGCTAGCATGATGAGATTTTAGATTCTAAACTAGTTTTTCAGATCCAAACTAAATTACCTAAAATAATGAGTACACCCACCGTAATTGGCATGGCGTTGAAAGATAGAAATTAGAAACTATTTAGAACTATTTTGGTTACGTTTACAAGAATTTGTAAGATTTTACCACCTCGATAATATTGGGAACTGGTGTCTATATTCTTGTGCATGCTCTACAAAAATAGTAACATACATGTGATTTGGTTTAAACGATGTTAATTTGTCTTAGCGTTCGATTTGCCAGCATCCTTTTTATGAATTGTTGCAAAATATTATACATTGTGCCACATTGTGATTATTTAATATTTATAGAAAAAAGCACAAAATAAGTTTTTAGAACAAAATTATATCGCATGCTCAAAAGTCCATCTTTTAAAAACTTTATTTTACAAACTACCATTTACAACTTCTCTGTTTCAAATCCAATCAGTTGATTAGTAAATAGTTGATGAGTTATCTATTTAAACTATTAATTAAGTGTAATTGTTTAACAATTAAATAACATCTTGTTAATTAGTTAATTAGTTAAATAGTTAATTAGTTAATTAGTTAATTAGTTAATTAGTTAAATAACATCTTGTTAATCAGACGGTCGACAATGTGTTGTTGGACAATAAGCCGGTGAAGAAGACAAAGTTAGCTACAAGTGAGAATGAGAAACCTGCCAGCCAACCCGCCCTGCCTGCCAGCGAACCTACTGCAGTGGACCTGTCCGCCACATCTCCCGATAAAGTAGCTGCCACCCCAGGTTTATTTCATCTCAACTAGTGCATTATCTACTTACTATTTAGTGCACTATTTACAGACCAATGCAAGACCAACTAGTGCATTATCTACTTACTTACTAGTCTTAGCGATTGATTATTGATGCTTTTCATACAAACAAGTTAAAACAAATTCTTTATGTCGTGCATCCTGGGTTTGGACAGGATATGCCCGCTTAAAATACTTCCATCGCGTTACACTACATAATTCTCAATAAATGTAATAGATTTGCAGTGTTGTAATTATTTATGACATAAACTTGCACCGTCAGAGAAACCAACACCAATGTTAGACCAACCATCACCTGGCGATCTCAAAAGAGGGTACACAGTCAGAGGAAACTCAGGAAGAAAACTGAAGCTAAATTCATTGCTCAAGTAAGATCAAAGATGAGATTTAATTACTTTTTAAACTTACGATGGTTCATACCGCAAGGAATGATAAAATATATAAGACTGAATTGTTAGCTGTCAAATGACAGTTTTTGATAAGTTATTTTCTAACGGGAGATGTAGTGTTTGCTTCAGTTGGGTGATGTCGGAGAATCCACTGCCTCCACAAGCGGCGTAAGTAAGCCACTCTGCCACTCAGCCAGTGGCTAAGCAAGCCACTCTGCCACTCAGCCAGTGGATAAGCAAACCACTCTGCCACTCAGCCAGTGGTCAAGCAAACCACTCTACCACTCAGCCAGTGGCTAAGCAAACCACTCTGCCACTCAGCCAGTGGATAAGCAAACCACCCTGCCACTCAGCCAGTGGCTAAGCAAACCACCCTGCCACTCAGCCAGTGGATAAGCAAACCACTCTGCCCCTCAGCCAGTGGCTAAGCAAACCACCCTGCCACTCAGCCAGTGGCTAAGCAAACCACTCTGCCACTCAGCCAGTGGATAAGCAAACCACTCTGCCACTCAGCCAGTGGATAAGCAAACCACTCTGCTCCTCAGCCAGTGGCTAAGCAAACCACTCTGCCACTCAGCCAGTGGATAAGCAAGCCACTCTGCCACTCAGCCAGTGGCTAAGCAAACCACTCTGCCACTCAGCCAGTGGATAAGCAAACCACCCTGCCACTCAGCCAGTGGCTAAGCAAACCACCCTGCCACTCAGCCAGTGGATAAGCAAACCACTCTGCCCCTCAGCCAGTGGCTAAGCAAACCACCCTGCCACTCAGCCAGTGGCTAAGCAAACCACTCTGCCACTCAGCCAGTGGATAAGCAAACCACTCTGCCACTCAGCCAGTGGATAAGCAAACCACTCTGCTCCTCAGCCAGTGGCTAAGCAAACCACTCTGCCACTCAGCCAGTGGATAAGCAAACCACTCTGCCACTCAGCCAGTGGATAAGCAAACCACCCTGCCACTCAGCCAGTGGATAAGCAAACCACCCTGCCACTCAGCCAGTGGCTAAGCAAGCCACTCTGCCACTCAGCCAGTGGATAAGCAAACCACCCTGCCACTCAGCCAGTGGATAAGCAAACCACTCTGCCACTCAGCCAGTGGATAAGCAAACCACCCTGCCACTCAGCCAGTGGATAAGCAAACCACCCTGCCACTTAGCCAGTGGATAAGCAAACCACTCTGCCACTCAGCCAGTGGATAAGCAAACCACTCTGCCACTCAGCCAGTGGATAAGCAAACCACTCTGCCACTCAGCCAGTGGATAAGCAAACCACTCTGCCACTCAGCCAGTGGCTAAGCAAACCACTCTACCACTCAGCCAGTGGCTAAGCAAACCACTCTGCCACTCAGCCAGTGGCTAAGCAAACCACCCTGCCACTCAGCCAGTGGCTAATCAAACCACCCTGCCACTCAGCCAGTGGCTAAGCAAGCCAGTGGCTAAGCAAGCCACTCTGCCACTCAGCCAGTGGCTAAGCAAACCACTCTGCCACTCAGCCAGTGGCTAAGCAAACCACCCTGCCACTCAGCCAGTGGCTAAGCAAACCACCCTGCCACTCAGCCAGTGGCTAAGCAAACCACTCTGCCACTCAGCCAGTGGTTAAGCAAGCCAGTGGCTAAGCAAGCCACTCTGCCACTCAGCCAGTGGCTAAGCAAACCACTCTGCTAGTAGCCAGTGGCTAAGCAAACCACTCAGCCAGTGGCTAAGCAAACCACCCTGCCACTCAGCCAGTGGCTAAGCAAGCCAGTGGCTAAGCAAGCCACTCTGCCACTCAGCCAGTGGCTAAGCAAACCACTCTGCCACTCAGCCAGTGGCTAAGCAAACCACCCTGCCACTCAGCCAGTGGCTATGCAAACCACCCTGCCACTCAGCCAGTGGCTAAGCAAGCCAGTGGCTAAGCAAGCCACCCTGCCACTCAGCCAGTGGCTAAGCAAGCCACTCTGCCACTCAGCCAGTGGCTAAGCAAACCACTCTGCCACTCAGCCAGTGGCTAAGCAAACCACTTTGCCACTCAGCCAGTGGCTAAGCAAGCCACTCTGCCACTCAGCCAGTGGCTAAGCAAACCACTCTGCCACTCAGCCAGTGGATAAGCAAACCACTCTGCCACTCAGCCAGTGGCTAAGCAAACCACTCTGCCACTCAGCCAGTGGATAAGCAAACCACCCTGCCACTCAGCCAGTGGTTAAGCAAACCACTCTGCCCCTCAGCCAGTGGATAAGCAAACCACTCTGCCACTCAGCCAGTGGATAAGCAAACCACTCTGCCACTCAGCCAGTGGCTAAGCAAACCACTCTGCCACTTAGCCAGTGGCTAAGCAAGCCACTCTGCCACTCAGCCAGTGGCTAAGCAAACCACTCTGCCACTTAGCCAGTGGCTAAGCAAACCACTCTGCCACTCAGCCAGTGGCTAAGCAAACCACTCTGCCACTCAGCCAGTGGATAAGCAAACCACTCTGCCACTCAGCCAGTGGCTAAGCAAACCACTCTGCCACTCAGCCAGTGGCTAAGCAAGCCACTCTGCCACTCAGCCAGTGGCTAAGCAAACCACTCTGCCACTCAGCCAGTGGCTAAGCAAGCCACTCTGCCACTCAGCCAGTGGCTAAGCAAACCACTCTGCCACTCAGCCAGTGGATAAGCAAACCACTCTGCCACTCAGCCAGTGGCTAAGCAAACCACTCTGCCACTTAGCCAGTGGATAAGAAAACCACTCTGCCACTCAGCCAGTGGATAAGCAAACCACTCTGCCACTCAGCCAGTGGCTAAGCAAACCACTCTACCACTCAGCCAGTGGCTAAGCAAACCACTCTGCCACTCAGCCAGTGGCTAAGCAAACCACTCTGCCACTCAGCCAGTGGATAAGCAAACCACTCTGCCACTCAGCCAGTGGCTAAGCAAGCCACTCTGCCACTCAGCCAGTGGCTAAGCAAACCACTCTGCCACTCAGCCAGTGGCTAAGCAAACCACTCTGCCACTTAGCCAGTGGATAAGCAAGCCACTCTGCCACTCAGCCAGTGGCTAAGCAAACCACCCTGCCACTCAGCCAGTGGCTAAGCAAACCACCCTGCCACTCAGCCAGTGGCTAAGCAAACCACTCTGCCCCTCAGCCAGTGGCTAAGCAAGCCACACGCTATAATGATAAAAGAGCCAAGTAATTTCATCTGCTAAACAAGGCGTTATCTGTATCAGCTGCTGAACAAGGCGTTATCAGCTGCTGAACAAGGCGTTATCAGCTGCTGAACAAGGCGTTATCAGCTGCCGAACAGGGCGTTATCAGCTGCTGAACAAGGCGTTATCAGCTGCTGAACAAGGCGTTATCAGCTGCTGAACAAGGCGTTATCAGCTGCTGAACAAGGCGTTATCAGCTGCTGAACAAGGCGTTATCAGCTGCTGAACAAGGCGTTATCAGCTGCTGAACAAGGCGTTATCAGCTGCTGAACAAGGCGTTATCAGCTGCTGAACAAGGCGTTATCAGCTGCTGAACAAGGCGTTATCAGCTGCTGAACAAGGCGTTATCAGCTGCTGAACAAGGCGTTATCAGCTGCTGAACAGGCGTTATCAGCTGCCGAACAGGGCGTTATCAGCTGCTGAACAAGGCGTTATCAGCTGCTGAACAGGGCTTTATCAGCTGCTGAACAAAGCGTTATCAGCTGCTGAACAAGGCGTTATCAGCTGCTGAACAAGGCGTTATCAGCTGCTGAACAAAGTGTTATCAGCTGCTGAACAAGGCGTTATCAGCTGCTGAACAAGGCGTTATCAGCTGCTGAACAAAATGTTATCAGCTGCTGAACAAGGCGTTATCAGCTGCTGAACAAGGCGTTATCAGCTGCTGAACAGGGCGTTATCAGCTGCTGAACAGGGCGTTATCAGCTGCTGAACAAGGCGTTATCAGCTGCTGAACAAGGCGTTATCAGCTGCTGAACAGGGCGTTATCAGCTGCTGAACAGGGCGTTATCAGCTGCTGAACAAGGCGTTATCAGCTGCTGAACAAGGCGTTATCAGCTGCTGAACAAGGCGTTATCAGCTGCTGAACAGGGCGTTATCAGCTGCTGAACAAGGCGTTATCAGCTGCTGAACAAGGCGTTATCAGCTGCTGAACAAGGCGTTATCAGCTGCTGAACAAGGCGTTATAAGCTGCTGAACAAGGCGTTATCAGCTGCTGAACAAGGCGTTATCAGCTGCTGAACAAGGCGTTATCAGCTGCTGAACAGGGCATTATCAGCTGCTGAACAGGGCGTTATCAGCTGCTGAACAGGGCGTTATCAGCTGCTGAACAGGGCGTTATCAGCTGCTGAACAAGGCGTTATCAGCTGCTGAACAGGCGTTATCAGCTGCTGAACAAGGCGTTATCAGCTGCTGAACAAGGCGTTATCAGCTGCTGAACAATGCGTTATCAGCTGCTGAACAGGGCGTTATCAGCTGCTGAACAGGGCGTTATCAGCTGCTGAACAGGGCGTTATCAGCTGCTGAACAGGGCGTTATCAGCTGCTGAACAAGGCGTTATCAGCTGCTGAACAAGGCGTTATCAGCTGCTGAACAAGGCGTTATCAGCTGCTGAACAGGGCGTTATCAGCTGCTGAACAAGGCGTTATCAGCTGCTGAACAAGGCGTTATCAGCTGCTGAACAAGGCGTTATCAGCTGCTGAACAAGGCGTTATCAGCTGCTGAACAAGGCGTTATCAGCTGCTGAACAAGGCGTTATCAGCTGCTGAACAAGGCGTTATCAGCTGCTGAACAAGGCGTTATCAGCTGCTGAACAAGGCGTTATCAGCTGCTGAACAAGGCGTTATCAGCTGCTGAACAAGGCGTTATCAGCTGCTGAACAAGGCGTTATCAGCTGCTGAACAAGGCGTTATCAGCTGCTGAACAAAATGTTATCAGCTGCTGAACAAGGCGTTATCAGCTGCTGAACAGGGCGTTATCAGCTGCTGAACAAGGCGTTATCAGCTGCTGAACAAGGCGTTATCAGCTGCTGAACAAAGCGTTATCAGCTGCTGAACAAGGCGTTATCAGCTGCTGAACAAGGCGTTATCAGCTGCTGAACAGGGCGTTATCAGCTGCTGAACAGGGCGTTATCAGCTGCTGAACAAGGCGTTATCAGCTGCTGAACAAGGCGTTATCAGCTGCTGAACAAGGCGTTATCAGCTGCTGAACAAGGCGTTATCAGCTGCTGAACAAGGCGTTATCAGCTGCTGAACAAGGCGTTATCAGCTGCTGAACAAGGCGTTATCAGCTGCTGAACAAGGCGTTATCAGCTGCTGAACAAGGCGTTATCAGCTGCTGAACAAAATGTTATCAGCTGCTGAACAAGGCGTTATCAGCTGCTGAACAAGGCGTTATCAGCTGCTGAACAAGGCGTTATCAGCTGCTGAACAAAGTGTTATCAGCTGCTGAACAAGGCGTTATCAGCTGCTGAACAAGGCGTTATCAGCTGCTGAACAAGGCGTTATCAGCTGCTGAACAAGGCGTTATCAGCTGCTGAACAAGGCGTTATCAGCTGCTGAACAAGGCGTTATCAGCTGCTGAACAAGGCGTTATCAGCTGCTGAACAAAATGTTATCAGCTGCCGAACAGGGCGTTATCAGCTGCTGAACAAGGCGTTATCAGCTGCTGAACAAGGCGTTATCAGCTGCTGAACAAGGCGTTATCAGCTGCTGAACAAGGCGTTATCAGCTGCTGAACAAGGCGTTATCAGCTGCTGAACAAGGCGTTATCAGCTGCTGAACAAGGCGTTATCAGCTGCTGAACAAGGCGTTATCAGCTGCTGAACAGGGCTTTATCAGCTGCTGAACAAAGCGTTATCAGCTGCTGAACAAGGCGTTATCAGCTGCTGAACAAGGCGTTATCAGCTGCTGAACAAAGTGTTATCAGCTGCTGAACAAGGCGTTATCAGCTGCTGAACAAGGCGTTATCAGCTGCTGAACAAAATGTTATCAGCTGCTGAACAAGGCGTTATCAGCTGCTGAACAAGGCGTTATCAGCTGCTGAACAGGGCGTTATCAGCTGCTGAACAGGGCGTTATCAGCTGCTGAACAAGGCGTTATCAGCTGCTGAACAAGGCGTTATCAGCTGCTGAACAGGGCGTTATCAGCTGCTGAACAGGGCGTTATCAGCTGCTGAACAAGGCGTTATCAGCTGCTGAACAAGGCGTTATCAGCTGCTGAACAAGGCGTTATCAGCTGCTGAACAGGGCGTTATCAGCTGCTGAACAAGGCGTTATCAGCTGCTGAACAAGGCGTTATCAGCTGCTGAACAAGGCGTTATCAGCTGCTGAACAAGGCGTTATAAGCTGCTGAACAAGGCGTTATCAGCTGCTGAACAAGGCGTTATCAGCTGCTGAACAAGGCGTTATCAGCTGCTGAACAGGGCATTATCAGCTGCTGAACAGGGCGTTATCAGCTGCTGAACAGGGCGTTATCAGCTGCTGAACAGGGCGTTATCAGCTGCTGAACAAGGCGTTATCAGCTGCTGAACAGGCGTTATCAGCTGCTGAACAAGGCGTTATCAGCTGCTGAACAAGGCGTTATCAGCTGCTGAACAATGCGTTATCAGCTGCTGAACAGGGCGTTATCAGCTGCTGAACAGGGCGTTATCAGCTGCTGAACAGGGCGTTATCAGCTGCTGAACAGGGCGTTATCAGCTGCTGAACAAGGCGTTATCAGCTGCTGAACAAGGCGTTATCAGCTGCTGAACAAGGCGTTATCAGCTGCTGAACAGGGCGTTATCAGCTGCTGAACAAGGCGTTATCAGCTGCTGAACAAGGCGTTATCAGCTGCTGAACAAGGCGTTATCAGCTGCTGAACAAGGCGTTATCAGCTGCTGAACAAGGCGTTATCAGCTGCTGAACAAGGCGTTATCAGCTGCTGAACAAGGCGTTATCAGCTGCTGAACAAGGCGTTATCAGCTGCTGAACAAGGCGTTATCAGCTGCTGAACAAGGCGTTATCAGCTGCTGAACAAGGCGTTATCAGCTGCTGAACAAGGCGTTATCAGCTGCTGAACAAGGCGTTATCAGCTGCTGAACAAGGCGTTATCAGCTGCTGAACAAAATGTTATCAGCTGCTGAACAAGGCGTTATCAGCTGCTGAACAGGGCGTTATCAGCTGCTGAACAAGGCGTTATCAGCTGCTGAACAAGGCGTTATCAGCTGCTGAACAAAGCGTTATCAGCTGCTGAACAAGGCGTTATCAGCTGCTGAACAAGGCGTTATCAGCTGCTGAACAGGGCGTTATCAGCTGCTGAACAGGGCGTTATCAGCTGCTGAACAAGGCGTTATCAGCTGCTGAACAAGGCGTTATCAGCTGCTGAACAAGGCGTTATCAGCTGCTGAACAAGGCGTTATCAGCTGCTGAACAAGGCGTTATCAGCTGCTGAACAAGGCGTTATCAGCTGCTGAACAAGGCGTTATCAGCTGCTGAACAAGGCGTTATCAGCTGCTGAACAAGGCGTTATCAGCTGCTGAACAAAATGTTATCAGCTGCTGAACAAGGCGTTATCAGCTGCTGAACAAGGCGTTATCAGCTGCTGAACAAGGCGTTATCAGCTGCTGAACAAAGTGTTATCAGCTGCTGAACAAGGCGTTATCAGCTGCTGAACAAGGCGTTATCAGCTGCTGAACAAGGCGTTATCAGCTGCTGAACAAGGCGTTATCAGCTGCTGAACAAGGCGTTATCAGCTGCTGAACAAGGCGTTATCAGCTGCTGAACAAGGCGTTATCAGCTGCTGAACAAAATGTTATCAGCTGCCGAACAGGGCGTTATCAGCTGCTGAACAAGGCGTTATCAGCTGCTGAACAAGGCGTTATCAGCTGCTGAACGCTCTCTACCGTGATATATGTACACAAACCGATCCTTAAACCTTGCTTTTTGATTTTCTATATTTCTATATTTTAGTTTCTAGCACCCATAGTATGCGTACTCCCGGTGAACTAACCTCATTTCAGGTGGATAATGTTGAAGTGCTTCCTTCCACCACCCCTAAGAAACACACTCCCAACAAAGGTTCCCAGAAGTGCCACACTTGTGCACTCAGTGTACTGGTGCTCAAACGTGTCGCTATTGAGGGGTCAGTTATCTTTTCTCTTTTTATATTATATTACTTATCATATCACATTTAATTGACTTTAGAATCTAGTTATTTTTTGTGATTCGTTGAGTGCGAAGATATTTAAAAACATTGTATCTTAATAATAATTAATCGATCAGTAATTGATCCTCTGTCCAGGTATGTGTTCCACCGGAAGTGTTTCGTGTGTGAGGATTGTCAGACTCTACTGAAGACCTCAACCTACCATCTCATAACATCACCTGACCCTGACACTCCTGGTTAATCTACTTTTTACACTCAAAATAAAACCAAACTCATCCAGATTTTGTCTGTCTTCCCGAATCTTCAACAACTTTTCCACGCCCGTTGATCAATTTATTGACAAAGCTCTTTTCCTCAGGACGATTCTTCTGTAAGAAGCATTTTAACGATATAGTGAACCGAAGCCGAGAGATGAAGAAGAGTCTGTTGGGACAGAAGAAACCTCCTACGAGGAGTAAGGAGAAGAAACAAGCTCGTCCTGTGTCTGGTATGCAAATAGTTATTTATCTTTGTTCATACGCGGTAATCGTTAAGGGTCATTCATTGAATAAGTGCGGTAATTTTGTAGCTTCTTCACAAGCTAGTTTTCATCTAAGTGTAATATTAATAATTTCAACATTTAAAAATCAGTATTGTAATACTTGTATCGTAGTGCTAAGATATCTTTCAGCCTGTTACGATTCCATGAAGATGTCTAACAGAACGTTCCGTCCGTCCACCCCTGACGTTCCTGAAGATGACATCCCAGAAATAGTCCCAACAAAACCAGATCCAAAACCAGAAAAGCCCTCCAAAACAGAAACCAGCCCTGCCAGACCACTGAAGACTCTTCCCGCCACACCAGCCATTAAGGATAAGATGCCCTCCGCGGATGCTCGCTATCGTGACACAGCATTGGAGATACACCGCGACAAAGCTGGTAACAAACGGAGACCAGAGTCACCAGCCTCAAAACAGAAACGGAGACCAGAGTCACCAGCCTCAAAACAGAAAGCTGTCACTCCTGCAAGTAAGCGACCTAAATCTCCAGACACCAACCCCTTCGCGAGCGCTATGTCTCCTAAGCTGACAGGGAGGGTGAAGATAACGGAGACAAAGTCTCCAGAGCTGGCGAGAACAAGGACTGCTAGCACCAGGAAGGAGAAACCCACCTCTGCCGCTAACAAAGTCTCTTCTTACCATGAAGGTAATTGTTTCTTTTTCTGCAATCGCGTGTTTTTTTCACAATCACTTAGGCAATATCCAGCGGAATTTCGCAGCGTGAACCCTAACCTTATCCATAACCCTACCCCTAACTCTAACCTTAACCATATTCCACTTCGAGATATTTGCGCGGAATACCGCTTCATGCTTCTCTGGAAGTGCCCTAAACTAGGCATTTTCATTGATTAACAATATTAACAATTATATTAGTTACATAACATCAACTCACTTACTTTTAACTTACTGACTGAGTATCAGTATTCTTAAACAGCTGGTAACATTTTCACTGATCCTCCCAGATCTACCTATGGAAGGACTACCAGACAACAGTCTCTCAAAGTCAGCCTCTAACCGTCCACCACCCCCAATAGACCATCTACCTTCAGAAGGGATGCCTAGTCAGGGTCTCCCCATCAGTAGCAATGTTACTGTCCGCAAGAAGAGTAAGTTATTGTTACCTTCGTTATTTCGTGCTTCACGTGGTATGACGTCACCACACGTGATATGACGTCATACCACGTGATATGACGTCACACCACGTGATATGATATGACGTCACACCAGTGTCCGCAAGAAGAGTAAGTTACTGTAACAGTGACCTCCGTTATATTTCGTGCTTCAATCTTTCGCACACAGATCCTGCATCGTGAAGAAAACGAATTATCGGTTGTCTAAAACCTCTTTAGTCAGCTCACTTAATTTTAAGTTGCCTTTAATTTGGATCTTCATTACTTTATGTAATCAATTAATTATGTAATGGTGTAAATCATGACTAGACCCTACGGTAAGTGTTTCATTATTTGTCAGGTCAGTTCGATATCGTAGTTAAATCCTTTTTTTGTCTCGGTCAGTATTCAGTACTCATTGTTTGTGTTGTCGTATAATCAGGCAATTTAAAATACATACATTGTTGATGATCGTAGTTAATGGATTTTACCCTTTAATGTTGCGAATAGTAACTTTAATTCGGCTTAATTGATTATAGTCGTTTTTGTTGTCAATGAGTGCTTTCAGTCAAAATTAAACGTTTAATATGTGATCTGTCCAAAATCTTCGTGTTGACATATTGACTTCAGAAAATCGTAGCCAATCAGTTACAACATAAATCCTGCTTCGTTGGTTCGCTGTAATGTATCAATGTATCATGACAGCAGAGATTTCCATTCACATCCAACTCTCCCAGCCGTGAAGCCCTCTAAAACCAGGAGCAGGGTCTTTTCCAAGAGTACCAAACTCCTTAAACCCAAACCCCCTAAACCCGAGAGTACGAGAAGTTCACTGAGTCTAGGGCCCTTAGCGTGTTTCGGTAAAATAAGAGACAGAAAGCTCGGTCTGTGTGTTGTGAGATTGGTGATGTGTATTGTGTGTATCTAGATTTGCATCCGGCGGTCATGAATTATCTGGCCTTGTGCCAATTAAAGAGTGGTGTAGACAGTGTCACGTGATACACGCGGTGTCACGTGATACACGCGGTGACACGTGATACACGGGTCACCATTCGGAATAAGGGCCACCATTCGGAATAACCTAACTGATGGAATTATTGTAGTTTAAACGAATTTCTTGATTACGCTTTAAATAATCAGTCTAAAAGCTCGTTTGAGTTAAAGCATTTAAAAACTTAATCATAAGATTATAGAACAACCATGTTTAACGTAACGAGTCCTAATTTGAAGACTCTAGCCTGTTTACTAGATTAAAAGGAAAATGCATGAAGACAGATTTAGTGAAACAGAATATTTTAAATCCTATGCACGAACAATTCATTCACAGCCGTTGATGATTCCTATCGTTAATTGCATAATAACCTTAATTACGAGATATACCCTGTGGTAGCTCAGTTAAAGTACATATCACTGTTTAAAAGCGTATTATTAAGTTAAAACTACAAATATACCACCCACTCTGACACACCTCCCAATTAACAGTGCCCCCTCCTTCAGGTAAGAAGACACACAAGGCACCCCCTGCTCCCAAACCACGTGATAAACCACGTGATAAATCACGTGATAAACCACGTGATAAGTCCAACTCGGTGGGCTCCTTACTCTCCTCAGATGCTAGGGAGAGGAGCAGGACTATGTCTCCTTCTTCTAACAACTTCAAGAAGAAGGGGGATAAGTCTAAGGACTTTGTTGCTGGTTAGTTTGACTGGGGTTAGGTACACTATTCTGTTGGCAGCTGGTTTTAAGCCAGATTTGTACAGATAATAGTTTATAACTGTCGCTCAGCAAGACTTATAGTGGGCTAGATGGTCGGTGATTTATAGAAATGTCACGTTACTTTTCCCTACCTTCTGACATTAACTATTTTTTAAATAAGGTCATTTTTTGGATTTTTGGTGATTTCATCGAGTTTAAGAAGTAGATAATTAGATCCTTATGTTTTCAGATGAGGTGGATACTGAGCCCGTGACATCCCCATCAGCTGTACCACTTTCACCCCCTCCCAGCGAAACTCTTTCCGAAGATAAACCCGCTCCTGCAGATAAACCCACTCCTGACATCGCATCAGGTAAGAGTTTGATTTAAGATAAAGTATTTATGATCGATTTTATTTTGAGTTTCGATTCGAATGTTTTACGTTCGAGGAGGCTACTGATATTTCTTGTACAAAATCTATAGTTTTTTGCCGAGTTGGAAGTGAGAAGAGTCTAGAGAGAGAGAGACATATAGCGTTGTCAGGTTAAGTTGGTCCCAGAGGTAACCAATTAGGATGCGTGGTTTGAATTAATATTCACTTGTAAACAAGTAAAAGTAAGTCTGAGGAGTTAGGATGATTTCAGGGGGTAAATTTCAGCTGATACATGTAAAAATAAAATGCTACGAATTTAAGCGAAGAAAAAAGAAATTACACTTATATAATGATATAATTAAGAAATTATATAATAATATTGAATCCCAAAAAGAAAAAAAAAATAAGTGACGAGAAAATAGTGCTGATTATTACTTAAGTTATTTAGAAAGATAATAGTAATTATTTATAGTAACGTCTAGAATCCCACACACGTTGATGTCCGCACAGTGAAGCATGACCCCCAGTGATAATTGCAGCTTTTAGTTCCTTGTGTTCAGACAAATCGTGTCTTCCTCGCTTTCATCATCACATACAGGTCTGAAAAGGAATGGATTTAGTATGCGTTAAATATGTGAATATCAAAAAGAGATTTACAAGATCTCCACAAGAAGGATGAATAATAAATATTGAACTAAGTTCGTATTTGAATGCTTCACAACGTAATCCAAATGCAAACTCTTCTCCCGATTTTTAAAAGTCCTAGTTAATTTTTACCTCTATCTGAAGTGAAAGTGAAAGTCTCAAGTTTACCTCTATCTAAAGTGAAAGTGAAAGTCTCAAGTTTACCTGTAATAAAGTGAAAGTGAAAGTTTATATTTACCTGTATCTAAAGTGTCTCTGTAGCGTGTCCTCGTGACACTTCAAACTACGCTTAGTTTCTGTCAGCTCCTGTTTGGTGCTTTGCAGCTCCTCCTGGGTGTTGGTGAGGGAAGTCTTGGTTTCTTTCAACTCTTGTTCTGCTGTGTTAAGCCTTTCTTCAATCAGTCTCAGTCTTTCTTTGGTGTGAGGAACTACGGGGCAGTTTGTAGGGATCTCAACCACATTTCCAGTTCTCTGTTGCGACATTATATCCTCCCACTTGATAAGTCTATTTGAGTTGAGTATCTCCTCCTCCTCAGAACACATGTCAGAGGCCATTGCTCTTATCTCTGTAGAAGTGAGTACCCTGTTGAAAATGTTCATCTTGAACACGTCTCCGCCAAAAATGAACCTCGACTCCACCATCTCATCAGCTCTATTCCCCATACTCATTTTACCTCCTGTCTCTATTTGTCTCCTATTCGTGCTTGTAGACCCAACTTCCTGGCCGTTGAAGTAAGCTCTGAGAATGTAGTCTCCCCATGTCAAGCAGAAATGAAACCACTCATTTGCTGGGGCCTTGAATTTACCATCCAGATTGAGATTACTTTCGACTACCTCGTTCCAGTTTTCATCAGCTTCTAAATAAATTCCATGCTGACTGGCGAGGTAGTAATCTAGTGCAACAGGTGATCTGGTCGTCTCACTTCGCCTCTTAATCCAGGTGCAAATTGACATTTGTGTTGCAAATGGGCTCATGTCTGGGTACCATTGTATTTTGTCATCCTGACCATCCCCAAAACTTAATGCATTGTACGTCTGTTGTTGTGCTGGAGAACAGCCCACTCCCAGGAGAAGCGTGGCAACAACCACTAGAATCATTTGGAGAGAACTACAGGACCTAGAAATGCTGTTAGTAAAAGAATTATAAATATTAGTAGTTGACTTGTTTATATAGTCGCACTTAATTCTCATTTTATTGCCACGTGCATCTGAAAGCCTTATGCATTATGGCTTTATGGGCATTTTTTTGCTCGATACGCTAGGGACCCCGAAACACTAGTCAGGGGAAAAGTGATCGATTTGAGGGTTCCGTTGGATCGGAATGTTCACAAGGATTTCTCAACGGAATATGGTAGTGAAGACCCCTACAAACATAATTAAACTTGTTGCCAATTTTGTATCTCAATGCCACACCTTTTTTTGCCACGCCCATTCTGAGCGTATAGTAAAAAAATTTGGTTGAATTGGTCATGCTACTTATAACTTATCAAACTAGGGGTTTAAGACTTGAGAAACATGTTGCGACTAACCATTTGAATTTACTGTGCTCAAAAATAGGGGTTCTTCGACTAATTGAGAAATGGGTAAAAAACATTAGTCCAGTTAAACTTAAGTGGCATATACATATTAATTGTGTATTTCACTGCATTAGAGTTTTTTGCTACTGAATCGGGTTAAATAGGTCAATTGTATTCATAATTACTGGAAGTACCAAAATGAAGAGCAGTGTACTGCTTATCATCAGAGGCAACAGCAGACAAGACGATGACGACGATCAACAAGAGGAACATAACTGCTGTTTTCGAGCGAGAATTAAAAATACTGTTATCTAGTAAAGGGCATGCGTTAAGGCAAAAGCTGACACTTTCGAGAGCAGAGCTGGTTGCTCTTAACATGAACTTAACCTGAATCGCTACGTTTTTAACACTAGATAACACAACAAGGTGGCACAAAAAAACCTCAAAAAGATAATATTCTTTGGTATTTTTCGGTTCAATATTGAGCCCGAGGCAGTTTATCAGTGTTGATATTTAATCAATATTTCTGACATATCAATTTAAGTTTTTCAAAATGTTGAACGGTATCCTTAAGGGGGGGGGGGGGGGTTCACCCTGATTTTTTTTATGAAACTTGGTTTCGAGATTACAGTTGACCAACAAACTATGACCGGTGACCGAACTTTTGAGGGGGTCCCGGACCTAAACCGACAAACGGTGCCCGCGGGGCAGCCACGCCCATATTTGGTCCAAATTAGGCCAAATTTAGCTAAATGCCCTGAACATGCTCAAAATCCAGATTTTAGTCCTAGTTTGTTGGTCAACTATCTCGAAACCAAGTTTCACAAAAAATCAGGGTGAACCCCCCCCCCCCCCCCCCCCCCCCCCCCTTAATTAAGAACTCTAAAGAAATGCTGTAAGTAAAAGAATGAAGGAATAAATAATGTATTTGCAGAGCTAAGTTAGATGTCATAAATTCGTTAACTAGCTTGTTTGCTTGCAAAATAGGGAGCAACTGGCTCGTCCGGGAAAACAATAGCATATATATATTAATAATCTTAAGTGCTAAGATCTAAACAGACTCTTCTTCGTGATGTTGTTACACGAATAGGATAATGAAAATTACTAGTTGGTTTGTGTGTAGATAGTAGGTCTGTGCGGCTTCTAGTGATAATAGAAAATTATTATAATTATTACGTAAAAATTATTATAAAAGTTATGTTTATATGGAAACAAGGAGAGTAAGTTTTACATATTGAGGCACTTTTCTGGAAACTACTTTTGTTCATGTTCAGTTTATGCTTCCCTGAGCATTATGAGCCGGAAATACTTTTTCGGTCCGTACCTACATTCGGAAGGCTGTGGATGTGATTAGTTCATTATAATTATAAAGAACGGAGTTAAAGAAGAATGCGCAAATTTGGTCCTCAGAGAATTGGAATTATCGCAATTTGTCGCGAAGAACTGTTTGTCTCGGCAAACGTCAAAAATCGCGATTTGTCGCAGGGAATGGGAAAAATCGCGATTCTGCACGTGCCGCTATTTCCTCACACATCCAGAAAGTTAAAAATTTCCTCGCAAATACAAATTTTCTGCTTTTTGTGACCCGCTCGCTTCGCTCGCGAATTTTCCACTTTCGCAATGTCGGCGAGTGAAGCAGGACAGTTCTTAAGTATTTGGGGGGGAGCCAAGTAGATTTTTGTAGATATTTGGATAATGTCATCCACTTTTTTCGTGAATTATCCATTGACAATAATCTACAAATATCTACATTTATCTACAAAAAATGTATATCTCAAATATGTGCCCAGAAATTCTACTGAATTTTTGGAGATAAATGTATAAATTTGTAGAATTTGTAGAATTTTCGTGAATTATCCATTGACAATAATCTACAAATATCTACATTTATCTACAAAAAATGTAATCTCAAATATGTGCCCAGAAATTCTACTGAATTTTTGGAGATAAATGTATAAATTTGTAGAATGTCATCCACTTTTTTCGTGGATTATCCATGCTACATTAATCTACAAATATCTACAAATATCTACTTGGCTCCCCCCCTATTTGGAGCTAGGTCCCAGGAAATTTTTTGCGTTTTTTGCTTGGCCACATTAAAATCTACAATAACAAAATATTTATAGCCCTTCAAAATAGTTACAAAATGGTTTTCTCCTACAACCCATTTACAAAATGACCCACAAGTAAAACATGGCCAGCTTGCACCAATCTGTTATCACAAATTATTATATGTGCCTTGCAGAGTAGAGGCAACCATATCCTGAGAAATGTAGACTGCATACAACTTAAACTTTCGCACAGACAGGAATCGAATATATGTTTGCTGCAGGCAAAAATTCTTGATGATTTTGCACATACAGAAGGAAGGCCGAGAAGCAATTTGGCAATAGAGATCATTTTCAAACACAGTTTCAAAAACGATTCAAAGAACTGTTAGTTATTTTTCTCTTTTATCAAGGACAAAAGAAAATCGCGATTATTTAGGCCAAAAATCGCGGCGCCGCGACAATTCAAATTAGGCAAAATCGCGGCGAAAGATAATGTATTTGCAGACCTGTTAGATGTCATAAATTCGTTAACTAGCTTGTTAGTAATAGTATAGTTTAAGATTAGGGAGCGACAGGCTCGTCAGGCAAAACAATAATATCTATCGTATCGGAACAGTTTTATATCACGTTGACTATTCTTTCGCAGTTTATTATTTAGCTTTCTAGCAGTATATATTTTGTTTTCTATATTCTTTCAGACTTTTACTTAAGTCTAGTTATACATTACTTTATCATATTTTATCGAACTAAGATGTAGTATTGCCAGATCCCAGTTCATTTTGTAACGGAGTTTTATATTAACAGGAAACGATGTGACAGAGTCGATATATTTTAATGTTGCCATGGGGTGGCAACTGGCAAGTTATGATTTTGCAGCCGTATAAAACGGTTTTACATAAACCCTAATCCTAACCCTAACCCTAACCATAACCCGAAGCTAACCATAACCCTAACTCTAACCCGAGCCCTAAACAATAAAATTCATGTTTTACTAGCCTGTCACGTGACCAAAACGGTTTTTGCCCATAACTCTCCAGGGAAGCATTTTTACCATATAATACGTCATGGGGGGTGATTCGGAATCAGCGTCCACAATATTGAATATACCGATTGAGATCAATTTCATACCCAAAGGGCCTTTTCACAAGAATTTTTTTTTAATTTGGGCGAGCGATTTAGTAGATGCGGGCAAGTCCCCATACATCGTGGTCCGGTAGTTTCATTGCGTCATAATATTAATAATCTTTAGTGTGTACTGAGTGTTAGCCAAGGAATAGTGTTAAGATCTAAACAGACTCTTCTTCATGATGCCTACGATCGACACATTTTTAAGTTAGAAAACGGTAAGAGGTACGTGGCTGGTTTTTTCGGTATAGTGCCCACAAAACTCTGACGAAGCACAAGAGCCTAAGTTTTTTAATCGGCCGGTGATAAGTGGTTAAATTGATGATTTTGTGACCCCAATGTGATACTAAAGTGTCTCTCCCTCTTATCTCCCCTACTCTCTCTCTCTCTGTCTCTCTCTCTCTCTCTCTCTCTCTCTCTCTCTCTCTCTCTCTCTCTCTCTCTCTCTCTCTCTCTCTCTCTCTCTCTCTCTCTCTCTCTCTCTCTCTCTCTCTCTCTCTCTCTCTCTCTCTCTCTCTCTCTCTCTCTCTCTCTCTCTCTCTCTCTCTCTCTCTCTCTCTCTCTCTCTCTCTCTCTCTCTCTCTCTCTCTCTCTCTCTCTCTCTCTCTCTCTCTCTCTCTCTCTCTCTCTCTCTCTCTCTCTCTCTCTCTCTCTCTCTCTCTCTCTCTCTCTCTCTCTCTGTCTCTCTCTCTCTCTCTCTAGTCTCTCTCTCTCCCATATTCAACAGATATTCTATATCAAGTATTACTATTAGATACGTGAGGGGCACTCGGAATAATTGAAGTATGCTTTGACTGAGTGATTTCATACTTTTGCACCGTTTTAACTACCAAAATAAATGTAATGGGGTTTTAGAATACAATAGGCGGGTTTATACTTTTGCATTTCAACTCCGATAGTGAAGTCCCGGACGTAGGCCTTGGTTACACTAGTATAACATAATCTCGAATATATTATCGCTATCAAACAGCATACTGGAAGCTATATTGGTCAATTATGTGTTGAGTTTGTACAATTTGTATAGAAACTTAGACAAATAAACACCAGCGATTCAAGCTGTAACTTACTTGTTGTTACACGAATTATGAATTAGGGATACACTGGCTCATCGGATTAGAGAAATGACAATTGCTAATTGGTTTGTGTGTAGATAGAAGGTCTGTGCGGCTTCTAGTGATAATAGAAAATTATTATAATTATTAAGTAAAAATTATTGTAAAAGTTATGTTTATATAGAAACAAGGAGAGTAACTTACATATCGAGGCACTCTCCTTGTTCCTAGCTATCGAGAATGACTCGGACCGAAAATTTTCTAAATCGAAATTATTTTCGAATTTTTTCTGGAAACTACTTTTGTTCATGTTTCATGCTACCCTGATCATTATGAGCAGAAAATACTTTTTCGGTCCGTACCTACATTTGGAAGGCTGTGGATGTGATTAGTTCCATATAATTATAAAGAACGTGATATTTGGCCCTCGGATTTAAAGGAGAGTGCGCAAATTTGGAACTCAGAGAACTGGAATAATCAGGATTTGTCGAGAGAATCTGAGAAAATCGCGATTTGTCTCGGCAAACATCAAAAATCGCGATTTGTCGCCGAGAATGGGAAAATCGCGATTCTGCACGTTCTGCGATTTCCCTTTTACCTTGTCTTCTATTTGTCAACAATTTTGGATTATTTTTAGAAAATTCCCTCTTTACCCCAGAAAATTCATGGTAAAATGTTTCAAAATTCAGATTGTAGACTTTATAATTTCCTCTTTGGCACCAAAAATTAGGTATAAACTACAGTACAGCTGTACTTACACCCACATTCACAAGCATGCAATGATGCAAGCTCACCTGGTCCAATGAGCGGGAAACGAAGAACAAGCTCTGGTGACGTCACAGTCACGTGACCTCAGGCTCATAATCACGTGCCTCAGACCCAATCAATTGGGTTATGGCCTGGTCAGCCCCCTGTCACCCGATCTTGAGGTGACGTACGACACCTTGTTAACTCAATCGATGTCTGGCTGCACATTTTCACATGCCAAACTCAAAAGGGTCTTACGGAGTTGTGCGAGATAACGATACATAGAGGCCGCAGAATTATGAGGACTACCAGACAGGCCCTACAACTAAAGAAATGCTGTACGTAAAAGAATGAAGGAATAAATAAATTTCCGTAGTTAACGTGTGTTTATAGTGATTTTATTATCAAAATAATAATAAATGATTATATAATATGAATACTTAATAATACTTTCAACACTACTGTTTAACAAATAATTTGAGGCTCTAAGGATGTAGTTTAACGAAGATTTCAAGCCTTACGATGTGCGTTTCCCTTCGTGTCCAAAAGCATTAGATTTTATTATCATGTTCGCGGAACGAAACTCTAAAGTAGAAATAAACCATTTGATAACGTTACAAAGGATCTTTTAGAGGTGTTAACCTTTATCATATTCCAAATGTCTCTAATTTTGAGATAATTAGAAACACTCAATTGTCTAATGTCTAGCTTGAATAAAATAGCAACGTGTCGAGGTAAACTGGTCTGTCACTTCTTAGACCTTAGCTAGACGACACGTGAATAGTGAAGTATTTATATTAAGAGAGTGGGGACTGGATTACACCTCGTCAAATTTTCTCAGGATATTAAAAGAGGTAATGGGGTTGCATCCCCCTCCCCTCCAAAGATTCAACAGTAATGCGGCTATTTCATAAAGACCGTTGTGATCCAGGAATTGACAGTTGACTGAGTTAGGATGGGCTATGATAATATTTCCGCAGTCCCTGGGATAGAATACCCGCCCAACTAACAGGGGGGATGCGTGGTTTGAATTAATATTCACTTGTAAACAAGTAAACGTAAGTCTGAGGAGTTAGGATGATTTCAGGGGTAAATTTCAGCTGATACATAATAAAATGCTACGAATTTAAGCGAAGAAAGAAGAAATTACAACACGTACAATCAATCATTATCGGTTGTATAATTTTCTTAGATTTTTACGATCATATCTTAACCGACAAATTAAAGTTAATCAAGCACTTACATAATGATTAATTAATATAAGTAATATCGAATCCCAAAAAGAAAAAACTTAATAAGTGGCTTAATAGAGAAAATAGTGCTGATTATTACTAAAGTTATTTAGAAAGATAATAGTAATTATTTATAGTAACGTCTAGAATCCCACACATGTTGATGTACGCACAGTGAGGTTTTAGTTCCTTTTGTTCAGACAATCACAGACAGGTCTGAAAGAGAATGAATTTAGTATGCGTTAAATATGTGGATTTAAGAAATAAATTTACAAGATATTCAATAGAACTTAGAAGGGTGAATAATGAATAATGAACTAATTTTTATTTGAATGCTTCACAACGAAATCCAAAATCCAAATGTGAACTCTTCTCCTTATTTTTTAAAGTCCTAGTTTAAACTGTTACCTTTTTTATTTTTTCTTTTATTTCCTTTTCTTTTCCTTCTAGGGCGGCAAGTATTGCAAAGCTCTTTCAGCTCCTGCTTGTTGCTCTGCAGCTCCTCCTGGGTGTTGGTGAGGGAAGTATTGGTTTCTGTCAGCTCCTGCTTGGTGCTCTGCAGCTCCTCCTGGGTGTCTTTTAACTCTTGTTCTGCTGTGTTAAGCCTTTCTTCAATCCGTCTCAGTCTTTCTTCGATGTCAGAGTTCACATTTAAATTGATGTCAGGAACTACGGAGCAGGTTGTAGGGATCTCAACCACATTTCCAGTTCGTTGCTGCGACAATATATCCTCCCACTTGAGAAGTCTATTTGAGTTGAGTTTTTCCTCCTCCTCAGAACACCTGTCAGAGGCCATTGCTCTTATTTCTGTAGAAGTGAGTACCCTGTTGAAAATGTTCATCTTGAACACGTCTCCGCCAAAAGTGAACTTCGGATCCACCACCGCATCAGCTCTATTCCCCATACTCATTTTACCTCCTGTCCCTATTAGTCTCACATTCGTGCTTGTAGACCCAACTTCCTGGCCGTTGAAGTAAGCTCTGAGAATGTATTCTCCCCATGTCAAGCAGAAATGGTACCACTCATTTACTGGGGCCTTGAATTTACCATCCAGATTGAGATTAGTTTCGACTACCTCGTTCCAGTCTTTATCAGCTTCTAAATAAATGTTATGCTGACTTGCGACGAAGTAATGTAGTACGACAGGTTGGGACGTCACACTTCGCATCTTAATCCAGGTGCAAAGTGACATTTGTGTTGCAAATGGGCTCATGTCTGGGTACCATTGTATTTTATCATCCTGACCACCCCCAAATTGTAATGCACTGTACTTCTGTTGTGCTGTAGAACAGCCTACTCCCAGGAGAAGCGTGACAACAACCACTAGAATCATTTAGAGACAACTACAGGACATAGAAATGCTGTTAGTAAAAGAATTATAAATATTAGTAGTTGACTTGTTTATATAGTCGCACTTCATTCTCATTTTATTGCAACGTGCATCTTAAAGCCTTATGCATTATGGGCATTTTTTGCTCGATACGCTAGCGACCCGAAACACTAGTCAGGGGAAAAGTGATTGATTTGAGGGTTCCGTTGGATCGGAATGTTCACAAGGATTTCTCAACGGAATATGGTAGTGAAGACCCCTACAAACATAATTAGACTTGTTGCAAATTTTTTATCTCAATACCACACCCTTTTTTTGCCACGCCCATTTTAAGCGTATAGTAAAAATTCCTGTTTTCGAGAATTTTGGTTGAATTGGTCATGCTCCTTATCAAAATAGGGGTTTAAGACTTGAGAAACATGTTGCGACTAACCATTTGAACTTACTGTGCTCAAAAATAGGGGTTTTTCATTAGTCCAGTTAAGTGGCATATAGGTATTAATTGTGTATTTCATTGCATTAGAGTTTTTTGCGACTGAATCTGGTTAAATAGGTCAATTGTATTCATGATTACTGGAAGTACCAAAATGAAGAGGAGTGTACTGCTTATCATCAGAGGCAACAGCAGGCAAGACGATGACGACGATCAACAAGAGGAACATAACCGAGGGCATGCGGAGGCGTTAAGGCAAAAGCCTTACGGGTCGTTAAAATATTACGTAATTACTTTTTGGAATTGACCATCCAGATTCCAGATTGAGATTACGGGAGGCCGACGGGCGACGATCAGGCCCCCTCATTATTAGGGGTCCCACGGAGATCAGATCATGACACCAATTAGTGACGTATAATACGCCACTGAGTCAATATGCTTGTAATATTAAAAGTCAATGCAAAAAAAAAGTAATTCAACTTTCCAATGTTTCTGATGTTACATCGTGAAAAACGCTTAATCCTAACCATAGTCACGACAATGGCGTAACGAATGAACGGCGGGGGGGCGCCATGTGGGACAATTTTGAAAAACTTAACTGGGTACTAGCAAATCCGCGCATTTTGCTCTAGAAACACACTTTTTTATAGATTTTACCGATCACCTAATTTGTTCAATTTTAGAGAGGGTCTGGGGGCGAATTTTCGGCGGGGGGGGGGGGGGCGCCAACAGGCAATGTTACGCCACTGAGTTACGGACATGTCGGTATTGTACACAATGATACCAAGTACACAAATGCGATAGAACGAATGACAGCTGATGGTGCAAAAAAGTGGAGTATTAGGTCAATAGTGCGATTAGTGGGACTTGCAAAATGCGATGGAAGATATAGTCATCTAGTGAATTATTATACATGAGCTTAAATGCCTAATTCTGATGATGCCTAACGAATCCATTATGTTGATACCAAGTTAATAGTTATACATGTAGTCTATTGTGATGAAGGGGGCAGATTTGTATTACACCCAGCTATCAATGATGGATCATTGTACACTGTTGCGGGCTTACTCTATTCACCATTGTTTGGGTTGGGTAATCCCTGAGCAGAGTGTTTCGCCCAGCTTTCAATGATGAATTCTACACTGTTGAGCTTACTCCGAATCTCTCAGTGGCTATTTTTCACAGTACGCACCATGCCAATAAGTGCAATTATGCCGTACAGTACCGTAAAATGGGGGAACTTCGCCATGTTATACAGCTATTTCATGTTATTTAGAAAATGCGACACGAGTACTTGAAAAAGTTTATAGCTCATATGAACAGGATTAGTAAAAAAAATAAAAACAAGCCAGGGCATGGCAAATGGCAGTCTAGTCTCTCCGTGTAAGTATACACACAACTCATGGCAGTTAAAAAATCCCATGGAATAATCTACAAACTAAGGCCAGGTTCTTGGAACTTTCTAAAAAAGAAAAAAGAACACGAATATAAATACGGCATACTTGTCTGAGAATTACCCAAAAAGCGATTGACTTTCTTGTAAAGGGATTTAATATCACCTGCTGAAGCTGTGATAGAATTTCTATAGTATCCCTTTCTTTTTTCAAACTCCATAACCTGAAATTTATTCCGAAGTCCTACGTACGCTGATTTAAGTCCCTTTCCAGACCTCCAAGCTCTCTCTGCTCTTTTTCTTTTTCTTCTCACTTCTCTCAGCTCTTCATCCAGGGCGTTTCATTAGCTTTCACTTTCCTGTCCACTTCTGGGCAATGGGTGTCCACTGTCCATAAGGCTCGAAAGAACCTCATTGTACTGTGTAACAGCTTCGTCTAGTGACCAGTCAAAGTTTCCTTGGCACAGAGATGAGTTCTTCAAACTTTCTCTAAAAATGTTTTTATCTTTAAAATTGCAAAATCACCTTGGGTTTCTTACAGCAGTGATACCCTAAATCAAAATGAACCAGAAAGTGGTCGGAGGATGTTCCTGATTTGGTCACAGAAACTGGGCCCATTCTGGACCTAAGGTTTTCTGTAGAGAGTATAAGGTCAATTGTACCACCTTGTTCATGCGTTGGTACAATAGGCATGATTTGATAAAGGTCATAGTCTTGTAGAAGTCTTACCAATTTCATAGGGTACAAATCATTAGGACGCTCCATGTGAATGTTCAAATCTCCCATCAGAAGAGGGATACCAGTCTTGGTACCTAAGTCATCTAGGTAGCTCTCGAACTCCTCTAGAAACATACATTCCGTGTATCTAGCTTTCTTTGTATAAGGAGGCCTGTATATGTTCACAAGGCGAATCGAATCTGTCTCAGTCTCAGATTGGAGCAATGCTTCCATAACCTGGAACGTTTTGTACTTAGTTACCTTTTCGTTAACTTTTAAGGTTATTTCTGGTCTGTAAAGGAAAGCAATACCTCCTCCACCTCTGTGTTTTCTAGGATTTGATAGTATCTCCCAGCCATAACTCTTGATCTCTTAAATCTTTACACTATCTGCCTCCTTAAGAAACATTTCCTGGACAAAGAAAACATCACATTTCTTATCATTGAGGTGCTCCATCACTCCCACTGTCTTATTTACAAGCGATCTGACATTAAAGGTTCCAACCCTTAGGTTTTTGTTCTCTTTGTCATGAGCTCCTTTACCCTGATTTGGTAGGACTTTTTTGCATCATTTGAAGAGTGATTTCTGGACATGACCCACAGTTTTTCTCTCACATAAAATGGACAAAGAGTGTCTGACGCCTTGTGTCTTAGATGTGACTTCTCTGATCGATTCTTGCTATGTGAACAGTTCGTGCATCGTATGTCCCCTGTCTTTTTCTCTTTCTTCTTAATACAGTCCTTCGATTTGTGGCTTCCTGCACAGTAGAAACATGTTGGGTCTGAGTCTTTGGACTTGCAGTATATGGATCCACTTGTATGACCAAAACCTTGACAGTGATAACACTGTATAACGTGATACCTGTCTCTGACAGGGTACATTTCCAATCCCAGACAGATCCTATTTCCAGCCTTTTTGATAACTTCCCTTATAGCCGGTGAAACCTGCAAAACGGCAAACCTATCTTTGTCATCCATAAAGACAGCCTTGAACTCATCACCATTTTCCATCAGGGTCTTGATAGTGTCATTCTTCTTCAGGACACCCTCCACTAGCTCTTCCTTCGTCTTTACGTCTGCATCAAGGCCTGAGATAGTAATCTTTGGATTAAGCTTCCTCAGTTCTTCCGACTTAGATGTGACATTAGATTTGGATTTAAGCGCTTCTTCTGCATGACCTAGATCCTCTTTGGATTTGAACACCAGTCTGGCAACGCCTTCAGTTTTAGGGGGATTAGCCCTAACTACAGGAATATTGCTCAGTTTTCGCTTAAGATCCTTTTTCACAACTGTTGTCCATTCTTCACCCGATATTTTATTATCTCCATCAGGTCCCAAGTCCTCAGACTTCTTTTCAACCACCAGAGTGTGCCTGACCTTCTCAGTATGCAAAGACTTCACACCAGAATAAACTGACTGAGCTGTTGCCAAGCTCTCCTGAATAATATGTGGCAGTGTATAAGCTAGTTCCTCTCTTACAATAGCTAAAACCTGTGCATGTGTACTGGATTCTTGTGGGCAAGACAAAGCTTCGATTGCTTTTTCAGCTAAATTGTAGGCCATTTTTAGGGACTGCCAAATGCCCTCCTTTGTATTAGTACACTTTTTAACATCATCACACTCAGATATTCTTACCTTAAGGGAGGTGTTGATTTTCTCCAACTCTATCTCCAGTTTCTTTTTCATCTTCATATCCCTAATACCTGGCCAGACTGGACCAACTCTGAGTTTAAACCCTTTTTTAGAAATAAGTTAAATTAAATTCTTTAAATTTTTGTTAAATTATTGGAAATTATTATAATTTAAAACGAAAAGGGAAATTTTTTTTTGTAAGGGAGGAATTTATTCAGGCATAAAGTCCCAGCATGGGGAATTTAAACAAATACACATTTTTTAATTCTGGAAATTTGATTTGTTTTTTACTTAAAGACTTTTAAAACTTTTTTTTCGGTGTAAACACTTTAAGGTTTGTGGAATGAGTTAAGACATTTTAACCAACTCTGTTAACAAATTTTTGAGGGCCTAAATGTGGTTTTTGGGAAAACAAAACAAAGAAGTCTTTCCTCCCAAAACCTTAGTCCAAAGCGCGGACGAAAAATTTTAGGAATAAACCCCCAAAAATTTTGGAACTTTGTTTGGGAAAACACATTGCTATAGAGAAAGAAACTTTTTGTCTTAAGTTGTTGAATTCCTTGGCGGGAAATGGGCGGCCTTTTGGGTTAGTTTTGACAGGATAAGTGATTTTTGGAGGTGGGAAAGGTTTCCCGTAAATATTTTAGGATATTAAAGGGATTTCACCCCCTCCCAAGACCAGTAATGGTATTTCATAAACCTTGTGTTCGGGCAGTTGACTTGGGGGGTTGAATTTCCATGCCCGAAACGCCATATAATCTGGGGTATGGTGGTTTGAATTTAAAGAAAATTTTTTTAATAGTAAATATTGTGAAGAGTTTATATAGAAAGGGAGTATACTA